AAAATTCTTCACTAAACACGTTTTATCCACATTAGTTCATACGTTTTTTTCAAGGAAATCAGTCCAGAATTTAGAATGCTGTGTGAGGATTTCTATTGTAGCATACTCATTTGGCTGTTTCTGCAGATCGACCTTCACATTACGCAGAGGGAGAACGAGCCATATGGTTCCGTTTATTTTTCGTCAGTATCAATCGAGAAGTACATTTATAAGATTGCTATCTATTGTCAAGGGGTCGTAAGTACAATTGGAGTACGCCTTTAATCGATTAGTTTCAACGCTTTTGGACACAGCAGTGTTATACGCTTATGTTGCTGAAATTTATTCGGTCGCTAAAATGTAAAATGAAAAAAAAACGCAGAACAAAGGCATTATCGCTTCCTTACTCATATCGGAGCGCTAAGAGCTTTTAACGGCGTGCATCGCTTATTGCTTAAGGTCGTGCTAAGACAGTAATAATTGGTAATCGTTTGTCGTCTAGTAGGTAATGACAGCGCCAAGGCGGTCTTAAGTTAGCGAAGGTACGGGCACACTTGACTAATTGCCACGAAGTGTTGATTCCTGAGCTTCGAAATCGACTGTCTTAGTATATCCGCTTGAAGGGCGTTGGAAGGAGATCTGAACGGTGTTTATCAGCGAAAAGTCCCCCATTGTCTGCTTTATAGTGCAACGGTAATATGTGCGTCTAATAAGCTTAAAAACACGTGAGATGGGCTAGATTGGAAACCCAGAGTATACATGGTGGGAGTCATGCACGGCTTAACGCAGCATCGTACCGCTCTATGTACAACTCATAATATTCAATCCATCGATTGGAAGCATCGATATTAGTCATAACAGACCACTATCGCTCGTTGACTATTTATCAGAATTACATTTTCGGTGATTGGAGCTCAGCATCCTTAGCAGTGAAAATGTTTCAAACAAAATTATTTTGAAAAATTGGTAAAGCGCCGATATGATTTAGATCATTAAATGTAAGAAAAAAGAAAAGGAAATTGTTGGAAAGCTTCTCAGTAAGCAAGGGCTAACTTCGTTCGATCTTCACATAATCGTATATCTAGCTGGATATTTTCAACAGTATAATGTTAGTTTAAAACGTTCGTTTGAAATCAGGAAGATATTCATGCAAAAGATGCTATGCTACCATACTATATGTGAGAGAGCCCCAGCTAAAATCGAATTAGGTTCAAGCAGTGCTTCATAAGATATCGTCATGATTTCTTCTATCTGCCCATCATCGATGTTAAGGCTTACTTTTCGACCGTGTCAAATTGATATATCAAAACTTTACTACCATGCTTATAGTATGTGCTCATAATTTTTTGCATTGCAACAATTTGAGTGTTAAAATTTACGCAACGTAAATCTCACAAAATGTACGCTTCTCTGTTTTGCCTACGTGAACGTGTCTATAACGTGCTATTGTATTCAACCGTCTGCCTGATCGTGCGCACGCTCAATTCATAATGCACTCGCTCACGATGTTACTTAATACTACCAACACATTACGGAAGCATTCACTAAGGCCTGAAGCATATTCAAATCCTGTACTACTATCCTATAGTACTTGAATCCTTTGCAGCTCGAAAGTCGGTCCATCGTCCGTGATAAGGTAGCCTTTGGAAGCTGTGTCCTAGCGGCTGGACCTAGCGTCACCCGTAAACATTTGCTCTAAAGCTAACTTTAGGTCAAGCTCGGATCACTTTAATGACTAGAAAAGTTTCTACAACATTACAGCTTAAAATAACATCTCTTCGATAAACTAACATTATTATTATTATTATTATTATTGGGATTTAGACAGAGGCCTTTGCCATTCCGGATAGCAGATAGTGAGTAAATCCACGTAGCACACTTTATAATACACATATTATTAGACCGCTGCATAGGTACAGTGCGTTTTTTTCCAGTTTCTTTCTAAACAAAATTCACGCTTTCCGCTGGCCGAAAAGCCTTTTTCCCCCCTATAATCGCACCGTCCATCGTTTTGTCTCGGCCACAGAATTTTACCTCGCTTCTAATTGTTGATGCGGATAAATTCTTTGTCAAAATGCGGCGATTTCAAGATTCTAGAAGGAATACAAACCGTACTAAGGGTAAAAACAATGATAACATAAAATCCAAGCATATTACATTATATTTTTTTTTTTGTATAAAGATTGATTTTGATTTAAAAAAACGAAAAGCTTTATTGGAAAGTAAGAAACGGTCGTTGTTTACCTTCTAATCGGTTGTGACAACATTGTCATTGTTGTCTACTTAGCATTTTATGAAATGGCGAAATCGTTGTGCCTTAAAAGGTCTACCTAAGCTCTCCGATCTCGGGATAAGACCTTGTGAATTATACAAGCCAGACAAGAACAATTTCTATTTATGTGCAACTCTTGATCTTTTGTAGAGGGGAAGCTGGAAAATTATTTCTACAAAAGAAAAGCCATCAATACTCCTCGGCCAATTTAATGTTTCGTATTCGCGTAGATGATGGCATATGGTACAACCAGTAGAAATTTGTCCGATTTAACCGCGTGTTAGGTATTTCAACGTCGTTAACAGGCAGTAGCACAAATTCAGACAGACAGGCAGGCAGGCAGGCTATAATAACTGCGGGTTCGCGATGACTGTGAAACCTCGCGGAAACTAATAATTAACACTCTTTCGATTCTCTCGGATTAACAGTTCAGAAATACCTATCATAGTGGATACGCAGATTGTCACTTACTTTTTGCTTGCCTCATTACGATACGTTTCCCTCACTTCACTTCACTTATTGTGTATCGGGGGCTGACAACATTATAGGTACGTATCTATAATGTTGTCAGCCCCCGTCAGACGCCATCGTTGGCGGACGTAATTCAAAGTAAAACAGGTGTCGCAGAGCATTTTTGCTTGTCATGCCACGGACTACTTTGACAGTCGCCAGTCGCGAAGGGGGTCGAATTGAAAAGCGTTTCAAATTCGAATAGATATGCCTTCCTACCACAGCCCGCTAATTCATTCCTGTAAGAAAAAAGGGGTGGCTTCTTGCCGATAGCAAATAGCCTACCCTCGCTAAAATCGCAGTAGCAGTGGATACTGCGGCGTGAAGGAAAATATTGCTCTTCTTCTTTTCGTAGGCGAATATTTTGCCCTTGCGCAGTCGCAGTAGCAGGAGCAACAGCAGCAGACAATGCCAACGTACTTTGCCCGAGGCATTCTACCCTTCGTGATATTATTGTTGCCTGAAACAAGCAATCTTCAGTTTTGTTGCATTTTCAACTTCTTCTATGGATCCGTTCTTTTACATCTTTTTGTCATATTCTTCTGTCTTCTCCGCTACAGAAAAGAAAATCGGGTGACGCACACCGACTTCAAAACGACTACACCCTGCCCTGCCGTTTTTAAAGCGACAAATCCTCAATGGTTGATGCCAGCTTTCCTGTATCCAACAAGAGCAATAGCAGCAGCAGCACAAAGACATTGAACGTCAAAGAGTCGATGTACCTAAATAGCCCCCGTTGCTTGTCTTTCATCTCAAACGAACACAGTATTTTTTATGGAGGTACTTATTTTACGGGTAATATATCCTCGATTCAGTTTCAAGCTCTAACATTTAATAAAAAAAATGTCTAACTCAAATGAGCGTAGTCTTGTACACTAATCATCGTATTTTTTTTTTGCAAAATTTACCTTACGCTACGACAAACAAAATTTGCTGTCCATCTTCCACTCCGATTAGATCTGGGTTGCTTTACAACCTTTAGCGGTCGCATCACATTCCAGATGCGCAATAACCAATGACTGTGGAAAAGGCAGGCTGGTCGAGCCGTAATCAGACCCAATTACGACCCGGCAAACGATGGTTCGATCTCAAATCGTTTAAAAGGTCGAATACGATCATGACAGCGACGCCAACGCCAATTAAAAGCGTGAAACGGGCGTCTAGGTCCAACAATTTGTTCGTCGGCAAAAGTCTTACTTGAAGCGCTTCGTTCGTCCGGCATCATACTCTCGTTCCCGAGGGCTATTTGGATGGAGTTCCTGATGGAAGCTTTCTTACCTGCATCTCATCACCACTTTGAAAATTGTAAACGGAACGACATACAGTTTTGCAGAAAAACACCTTTAAGTTGTCCCGTAAGAATTTTTTCTGCGCATTTTACATTGTTTTGGTTATAACGTTAATCGAAATTATTAGATGCATATATATAACATCTTTGATTGTCCCTTTTTAGGGTTCATCGTAAACAAAAATAAGTTATTTTACATTATTGGAAATATATTATGAAGTTGTTGAATATTTCTATTGAATCAGCTGATAGTAAAAGTAATAAATTGCTGCTAGTTCGGTAGCTTTCACCTGTGACTCCATACATTTTCGGTCACTGCCAAATGCCCTAGTCTTTCGCATTTTCGTAGTAGTGACGAAGCGCACGCTCGATCACATCGGTGCAGGCGCTGAGCTACTACTCTTCGAGACCAAGAGCTGTCTTTTAGCCCGATTCCGCTCAATTGTAGGCCATAGGGAACGCAGCCAAAAACGCGGAAGCGTGGATTGCCAGCAAGGGCGGACGAGTTGACAGGCCTTTCTCGTTGAAACCGTTAGCTCCGCTAATGGCGCCAGGTTCACGCGGACGACGGCGCCAAAAGAAGGGAACGAAAGGGAGGGCTCGGTCACAAAGGACTACTAGCTCTGTCTGCAAACGGAAGCTTCACGTATAAAAGGAATCAAACGAATGCCCAACGAGGAACAAACGAACGTAATTGTTAGGGTCAGATTTTGAAGACCTTGAAGCCGGGAAGGCATCGGCGCCGTATTGCAATGATTAATCGAAGTACGGAAGTGCCAACGAAAAATCGAACTCCTCAATTGATTATTGTCATACTCGTACAACACCTGCATCTGGTTACATCAAATTGATTCAGTAACATTTCTGATGTTTTGATAATTATAAATGTTGTAAGCGGACCATACCTATTGATAAGTGTGGTCCGCTTACAACATTTATAATTCTCTTAACTTTCATTTGTTTTTAACGTTCATCATCGAATGGACACATTTGGGTTTTTTTTTCTCGTAGTTTAAAGTACTCAGTGTTTTTCTCAGGTCTTCACTTTCCCTCAAGAATATTTATTTGTTCATGTTTCATTCAGTTTGTTTACATCATTCTGTTATTGTTAGTTATTTTTCGTCAAAAGCCAACAACAATCACGTAAATACACGTGTATGTGACCGGTTTTCCTTTATTCCTTATATTACCGGTTGTCATTTGTCTCATATCTTAGCTATTTCACATGCATGATTCCCTACCTCTCAATCCACTTGTATATGTGGACCCTTACTGCCCAAATATCACGGTAGCGTATTTCTGTGAAATCTCAGTATTGTATCTTACGAAACGGGAGTGGCGGTAGCAATGGTGCTGATATTCACTATGCTACGATGCTCGGCGACTTTCTGCCGAAAGCGTGTGTTGCCTCTCGCGTGTCCACTGTTACTGTCGCCGACGGCCAATGCGGATGTTGCAGATCCAGTCCTGTTGTTCTATTTCTCATTCATAGATAGATGGTGGTGAGCGGCTGGCTGGGTGGGTCTGTGCAAAGGGGGGGACGTGACAGTGGGATGAGGATTTACAGGGTGCAGGGTACGCAGGTACAGCCGATGGGCACTCTAAGTTGCAGCTGCATGGCCCCCAACGGGCCGAGAATGCGCTCACCGTTAACGTCATAGCACTGGTCTAGGAGAACGTCACGGTGCTCCATCTGGGTTTCGCGACAACAGTTGCATTCCTGGAAAGCGATGCCACGATAATGATACGCGACTGCACGAATGTATTCACACATATCGACCATCATCATTATGTACCGCTGTGCACGAACGAGGTCATACATATATGGCCGTATCGATATGACTGGATACGATCTTTAATGAAAATGAGGGCGCTAAAAAGATACCAGAAAAAGATCACTGATAAATTACTTGGTCGAGCGTCTTCAAAGCTCTTCGACCACAAGCTCGATAACGAGATCACAGGCCGCGTCTATTTACGTAACCGCCACTTCCGGATCTATTGTTGGTGGTAACTGAAGTAATGAGGGCTGTTACTGGACGTACCTTGTGAAAGCCGTGAGGTGCAGAGAGGCTGGGCTGGACTTGGGAGTTGCAGGTGCCTTCGCATTTCGTAACTTCAACGCTTCCCTCGCAGCTCCGAAGGGGGTTGCCGAAATCGTCGTTTTCTTCACGACTGATATGGATCTTCGTCTGCACGGAGCGACACGTCTGCGCCATGGCAAATGGCTCGTTCAGAAAATTTGCTTTAACGACGCTGGTCAACGACGGTACCCTGCACATTAGCGTGAATACCAGGACAGCGAGTGTCGGCAGCGATGCGAGAGTACGCCGGGCCATCTTGCCACCCGCGCCCGCGTCTCTCCGGTGATCGACTGAACGCTTGCCCTATAGTTGCACAGTTATATCGGGTTGCGGGAGCGAGAAAAAACTCGTTGATTGCAATTACCGCAAGCAAGCACCAGGACGTGTACATGGGAAAGGGTACGTTCGTTGTCTACGGCCGTGGAGAACGATTCGGTTGGCGCGGCAGCGCCTGCATTCGGCCTGTCTGGCTAAACGCATAGCAACTGGAGATTCTCAGCAGGTGAAAAGAAGTCATTGAGAGAGACCGGCGCGGGCTGCTGCTTAGTCCTAATGGAAAAAGCATGCCTACAGCAACAGCGAAACTCAACTATATGAACACATCTGTATGGTCGACCTCGGTTGGCGACTTCCGTTCTGCAAAAGTAGCTAGATTACCTATATCTGTACAAGCATTAATTTAGCTGTTGTCGCTCGAACGGGATTGCCACATGAGCATGGTATAGAAACCTAGTCGTCCTACAATATGACGACTGGAGCACTTCGAGGACCCAATTCGCGACGCGGCCGAGAAGTCGAGGTGGGGAACACATACAAGGCCATAGAAGTTAACTTAATCACCTGCTTAGCAGAAACAACGTTTCTCGACTGATTCTAGGGCGGTCCCTAAAACTGAACAGTCAATTCCGCTTGCCTGATAGAGTCCTTGAGGCAACGAGCACTACACACCTTATTTGCGTGCAGCTGAGTTCAGATCGATTTCAAATATTCTTTTATATTTCCTTAAGTGCAGTTGGAACTTTTGTTATATATTGGTCAGTTTCGGGTATTTTTTCTCTTATCTAAGCATTTAAAGTTATATTATTTCCACTTGATTGAAAGCTGGCAAAAAACAGAAGTGAGATTATATTATACACTAAGAAACAGACAAATTCTATTGAGAGAAATCGTCTTTTTCGTTTTTACGAGCGTATTGTGACACGGATTTGCATGGACATAGGTGACTATGACTGTGTATTCCACGTAACGCTAGAGCACGTATCTTAGCATTTTGAAGGATAATCAGACCTTTGAAAACTTCCGGATGTAGGTCTTAACACTCGAGTGGCGCTCAGCATTACAGCCCTGGATATAGCCTTGACATATTTTAGATGACAGGATTTTATAAATACAAGCTTAAACTGTGCAGAGTATATGTCCTTTTCAACTGGGATAAAAAGTGCTTAATATGCCAAAAAAATCATTTCAGGTGTAACTACCTTATTAGCGCTTGCTGTATAATTGATCTGCCTTTTTTTTTTTTAGCTAATCTGAGGTATTGCCTCGTAGTATTCCCATAATAAGGGTGTGATATAAGACAACTGAAATATTTTTCAAGGTAAGATAATTATATTTTGTTAGAATGTCTATCTTGTATTATATACGAATATGTGAATTTCAGTAGCTTAAATAGATATTATTACCAACAACTGTTCAAGTTAAGTATTCTATGTTTGTTCTTACAAACTGCTAACTCAATCAACCTTTCACACATGTCACTATCATGATTTTTCATCGAGTCCACTGGTATATAATACATGAATAAAATTGTATTTTATGTCTTCTTTGCCTCCTCTTTTCGAGCCAAATGTCACAATTTTGAGGCAAGTGGTGTTTCGTCGAAACAATAAGAAACACGCTAACCTATGCGAGTCCAATACCACCGTTACGTATTCCATCATATGGTTAGCTACCAGTACAAAACAAAGTGTGTCGTCGCGCGGATTCGAACCCAAACCATCATGTGTCCCTTCGGCCTAGTGCCCCAACACGAGGAAACGTAGAGTCTACCTGTCCTAACCTAGTCGCCAGCACACACGTGGAGAGGAGTCGCTCACACCGTATCAATGACAGTCGTAGTAACGACGAAGTGGAGGGTTACGAGTATCGGAGAGATACATTATGGAGCCATCAATGTCAACAACGGCCGAATATGCGACTTCCCTTATGTCGGTTTATTCCTCCGGTTAGTCGGCGTTTCGCAGTTGTGCGACTGACTAGTCGATGACAACGGACAGCTTCACCTCATACCCCATCTGATTTAAATACATTCCCACTATATGCCGCAGTGTATCAACCAGATTGGTTAAGCATCTAGTAAACATATGTATGCATGTATACATACGTATATCAAATACGTAGCAGAATCTATACATATCCTACACTATAAATGGCAATTTTTATTGTTTAGCCTAAATTAGACCAACTTAAAAATAATATACAGCATCGGAAATATATTGATCTAAATGAATATGACGGTTACGACAACGATAAGCACAACGAGGTGACTTGCTTCAGTTTCCAAACCGGTAATCGAGTGAAGCACGACTAAATAAACATAGTGCGCGAGCTCTTAAGTCATACTATTTCCCTACAGATACAGCCTTTTAAAGCACTCTCTTACGTATACCAATCTTATTCATAAGCCAATGTTCGGTATCGACAGCTGAACTTAAAACTCTTGGAAACCCCTATACTCTTATTCTGAGCAGCTTATCTAATTTTTAAAACATGTGGAATCAACAGTTACCGGATCTGTCTTGATCAGGCCAAAAGCGCATCATGCGAAAAAGTTTGGGCCTCAATTTAGAAACAGCTTAACTTTAGGCTAATGGAAATAAGCTTTCCCATTAAAAATCCTGACCAAATTACGCCGTACGTATACCTGTCGAGTGTGCCACTATTTATCTGTATTCAATGTTTTACATGCATGTTAGAATATAAGGAATTACACTGTACATTATTTTAAATAGTTCACAGTGTTACATTGAACAGTAGGGCTGACTTGCGAGGGTTTCGCATATATAGATTGTGTCCATATCGCACTGGCGAGTTGTGAATTTATTTACATGTTCGTATGCATTAAATATAGGCTAAGACAGGGTTCATTGAAGCGTATGTCTTTTTTTAATAAAGCGTACGACGACGAACCTTGGCTCTAAAAGACACCATACGATTGAGGAGATGCACAATGTTATTAAGAGCTCCAAACGACTTTCCATCAGACTCGTCATAACCCTGTACACACACGATGTTTCCTCATTCTTTTGTGCGCCAATGTTGAATTTTTTTACAAACTGAAAGCTTCTTTTTCCCTTCAAGTAACTAAAAATAGACCTAATAAAGGGAACATATTATTTCAAAAGTAGCTTATGTAATGCCAAATGTGGAACGTTCCGAATCGACATTTTTAAATGGCTTTTCATATCTTCTATATATTGAGAGTTGAAATACAGTGGCTAAAAGGTTATGCCTTGACGTCTGCTACTCCGGAGCCTATATATCCGATGATATGTAAGCAAACATTTTTTACAAAAATGTTTGCTTACATATCTCATACAGTAAAGGGGAAGGTAAATATGTATTTTGAAATCGGAGAATATGCTATACGGCCTATATGAAAACTTCCTTAGGCCTATAACAAACTTATCTTTTGATCCGTCTGTGTAATACACACCTACTACAAATAACAATTATTTGCATGGTATACGAGGTCAATGGAATTTTTGGAAAAACGTATCTGAAACCAAGCCCTTATTTTGTTGATAAGGTTGTGGGCTTTTGTCATAGAAATTCACTAGATTCCCGCCAACCTATTTCTCCTTGATGTAACGAGAATAGCAAAACGAGCCGTGAGTTCGTCTCCTTTTGTTACCACGCTAGGTAGCATGTTTTTTGTTTCCGCACTTTCTGTCTCTTGACAGCATTTTTTCGGTGGCTGGTCATAACCTAAAGAAGTGTGCGCGATCGCCGTCACCGCCACCGTTACCACTCGGTAACCCGTGCACCCGATCTTATGCGAACAATCCCGACCCGGCATGATACCTTCGGTAATGTCGGTCGTTATTCGCCATTTGCAACACGATCTGGCAAGGCGCTTTTTGGCCGTTTCCCCCTAAGCCCCATCATCATGGGTGTCCCCATGGGCAACCCACCGAGTCTCTCCCTCGCCCTCGAATAATTGCCACTGCCTATAAGTCAGTTGTGTGGCTGCCAACTGTGGCCACTCAAGCTTGCCATGCTCTCCGAGAGGATGTGGCCCGACCACCTACGCCACTACGACTGTCGCATAGATGCAGTGAAAGCTACAACTATAAACGTTAACAAACACCGAAGCCGGGTCCAGCCGAAGCTTCGGTCGCCTGTGCTATCTCCGTTCATATTCTTAGTATTATTGCATTCATTGTTTCTTAACGGTGCTGAAATTCGCGCCGAGGAGAACTGCCAACTCAAGCCGGTGATTCACATTATCAAGGAACCGGGCTGCCAACCGAAACCCGTACCATCATTTGCCTGCCATGGAGCCTGCGCTAGCTACGTACAGGTCTGTTGATAATAACATAATGTTGCAACGTAGACGCTCTTACGAGTGCGCAGAGACGGCAGATTGAAAAATTTCTATTTAGTCCATTGTAAATTTTCATTCATACTGTGTACCCTTTCTCATTGGTGTGAGAATACGTGCTTGCTTCCCCAACTCACGCGATCCTTACTTTTATGCAAAGTTATACGTTCTCAACATGTATGCATAGCAGGAAATTCGAAGTTATAATGACAAAAAGTAGCTGCTGATTACACTAAGTTTAACCTATTTTAAAGTTTAGATCGTTTTTTTGTTGTTATTCAAAATGCATCGTATGCATACGTCTTGGAAGCGCAAACATTTATTAAGGGTGGTCACAATATATCGTAGCTTTTGATTTGTTGTTGTTGGAAACCGGGTCTTCACATCCATGCGAGGTACCGCTGAATTTACTGAACAGGTTACATTATCACTTCCGGCATGTAGTAGAGCACTTCCACGTACTGAAGTTGCATTAGATCTGAAGTAAATATAGCAAATAGGGTAAACTATCTCGTTAGTCATAATATGCAAAGTATTTTAAAACTCGCAGTGAGTCCTTAAGGGATAACAGAGCTTAGTGAACAAAGCCGTACTCGAAGTACCTGCGAAAACACGTATTGCCTATTTTCGCTGGTCTGAAGTGTGCATTTT